GGCTGCTCCCATCCAGCCCTTCCCCACTTTAACTGTTCAAACATTTCTTTATCCCGACAAGACAATTAAGCCAAACAGCACAGAAAGGAGTCTCGGCAACAGTTTGCAGGGGGAGCGGGAAGGTTGTTGACAGAAAAGCAGAAAAAGGAGGTGACTGCTGCCTGCTCCAGGACCTCCCTCCAGGCAGCGCACCTAGCTCCATGAGGATGGTGTGGTTTCAGTGGTGCAACGGGGATGGATGCACGACCCTCATCCCTATTACTGTCTATCTGCCTGCCAACCCCTTCCCAAAATCTACTGTTGCTCCTTCTCTCCTCCTACATCACACAGGGCACTGACGATGGAAAGCAAACATTCCACTCGATTTATTTCATTATTCCACAAGCAGTGTTAAGCTTGCGATTTCCCATGGTCACAGCTGATTATTATTAGCAACAAAGCATCACTTTGCTTTACACCCAGATTTTACCAGGCTTGGAAGTGGTGCATCCCAGTGGGAAGAGGCATAGAGTGATGGATGTGCGCACATATGGATTTGTGCATGTGTGCGTTCCCCTCCAACCCATTGTTCTGACACAAAATATAAGGAAAAAACCCTTTTCCCCTCCCAGCACATAGGCATACAGACAGACACAGCTCTCTACACAAGTCCCAGCCCATAAACACAAAGCCCAACAAACACACTTATCTGAGTGGTGGATGACTGTACAGACAGTTCTCAGCCTGATTTCCAAAGCGCTACGTTATTCAGGCTTTCAAGCTGTGGTCATCATAGCCCTGATGTTCATCACCTGAAGTGTGATTTACATTCAATCAATAATGAAGCAGTTATTTCAAAAGGAAAACTAACTCTGTGCTAGAGGTGTTTTTTAAAGCCCTACAGTGGAACAAAGAGCTCTCTTGCAGAGAGAAAAGCCATTGCAGCACAAGCTGTCCGTGTCCAGATAACCAAGGTTAAATATGATTATCAAAAATAATAATCAAAGTAATGTTAATAGAACCACCCCCACTTTACGCACCAGTCCTAAGGGATGAGCGGGGATCCCAGCCTGCTCCCCAGCTCAGTTGCTCATCCCCAGGACACACCAGGAGCAGGGCGAGAGCTGCCAATGGTAGCAGGGGAACTGAAGCTAGAAGAGCCAGGCTCTGCCCAGAGGATGGAAACTGAACCAGCAACCAGGATGTAGAGGGTCACCTTCACACGTCAGGCTGTGCTCCCCAAGAAGTCACAGACAACACATGATGAAGACCAAGCAGCACACAGCAATAGGAAACCATCTTCTGTCGGCACAGGGGGACTGGGGGCATGGGCAGCCTTGCGGGAAGAGCAAGGGTGTCCACTGGACAAGATCCAGCTCTTCACCAAGAGATCCCAGCTTTGGCATGGACCTCTGCCTGTCACTTTGTGGGAAAATGATGCTGTGGTGACTGGGTACAATATTTTATTAGACTGGGACAGATTTTATTAGAAGGAAAGAGTAAACCCAGGGATCTTTCATATTTTCTCTGATTTTAAAACAGGTGTATAGGTCTCTTTTGCAGAAAGAAACATGCCATTTATTTCCAGTACTTCTAGGAATCTCAACTATTGCATGCTTATTAAAGGAAACCCATAAAATACGTCTCCCGGTGTCTTTAACACATGCTTTACAAGAAGCCCTGAACTCTAACAAATGGCATTATTTTTCTCCGTAAGCATCTGAAGGAATGGGCCCATCCAGTACATGGTATGTCTGCTGCTTCCTGGAAAGGCTCAGCTTTTCTACATGGTCCCTGTACACTCCACTGCGCCGGGTGTCCTGACTGTCTGCACTTTACAGCAAGGGACAGCTCACCCCAATGCAGACATCTCAGCCCAATTTGCTGAGTGACAAGAAGCATCATCCCACACAGCTGCACCCCAGAAATGGTGCTCTCCCTTCATGGGAAAACAGGCTGAGATTTTGCTCCCACAATGCGGAGGACTAAATACAGCACCTTCCAAACATTCCCTGAAATGAAAATGCCTGACTTTGGATTCTTCTTTTGCTGCAAAGTATCTCAAGTGTAATCATATTCTTCAGGAAAATTAAAACTCAGCTCATTGAATTCCTTTTTTTTTCTTAAGAAAAAGGCAAATTCCTTAGAAAATCACACTTTAAGCTATGGGGTAAAACAGATGTTTTAATGAGCTATTCACAACAGGTTCTTGCGCAGTGGTACAGAATACGCAGAGCAATCACAGTAATTCACCTTCCGTGTCATACAAACCCTTTCAGGAATCTGAAAAATACAACTGAATGATGGAGCCCTACATATCTGAGCAGCACCTGTGAGACGTGTAAAGGTGTTGCTGATCTAAGGCAGTTTCACCATTTTTGCTCTCAGTTGTAGAAAAACCTCATTGCATTTTTGCCTAGAAGCTACAGCCACCTACGTGCAACAAATTCTCCATCAGGAGCACAAGTAAATGCATTTTACAAAGGGTTATACGTAACAATTACACCAGGAATCCACCAAACTTCTCAGAGGCAACAACAACCCCTTCTCCCCCCGAAGTATGCATTTATATGGAAACTCCAAAAACACATAAGCAAACGTCAATGCAAAACAGGATCACGATTACATCTCGTGATCTCTCAAAATTCCTCATTGCGGAAGTTTTCCTTTTCTGATGGTCAACATCAAAGATCATTAGGATCCCTCTAAAACGCTCTGCTGCTCGCTTTCCCGGCCTCCAGCAAACACACCCATACGTGCGTATGCACACACCAAATAAACTCGCCGTGTTAATGGAGCGAAGTTTCCATGGTGCAGTGTCTGTATGTGATGGGAATATGATACAGAGCCAACAGACATATTCAGTGTACACTGTCCTGGTAGTTACGGAAGAATTTTAATGTGGGTGAAATATCGGGGACGTTGTATTTGCCCAGCTCCTACCGTGCAGCAAAGCATCTCAAAGAAATTTAACCATACAGGAAAGAAAACAATAAAACAAAACACCTCCCACTTTTGCCCCAGTTTCCCCATGCTGCCTGCAAAGTTTTATTCCGCTTCCTCTCCCCATGAAGTGCCGTGCCATAGGGCTGGTGGCGGCACAGGGAGCCAGTGTCACCGTGCTGCCTCTTGCATGCTCCTGCGCAGAGCCCCGTCTGCTCCCAAGGAGAGGACCCACGTTCAGCACATACAGTTGGCAAAGGAAAGGCACAGCGGTGGATGTGGATGTGGATATGTCTGTCCATCTGCAGCTGCGCTCCATGTGGTCTAATTCATTTAACAGATTTACTTCTTTAAATGGGGTATCTGACAGGATTTTGCTAGCAAGATCCATAGCAGCTGATGCGCTCTAAATTAATTTAGCTAGTGGACCCACTCCTCCACTGCTATCTCCCAGAGTATTCTTTCAAGCAGGCTTCATTTCCACAGCCAGGTTATATCGATAAGGGAAAGAGCATCGACAAAGATGTCTCTAAGCCTTGCCATCTCACCTGCCTCCCCCCAGGATAATTATATTGCCAGCTTATACACACACACATCCACACGTGCTCCCACCTACAGCCGAGTCCCTGTGGACCCAAAAGGAGGGAGAGGGGATGCTGAACAATGAAAGGAGCTTACAGCACAAAAAGTAGCACAGTCAGGGGTGGATCAGAAGGAGAGGGGGGAAAGATAAGAGTTCGCATTCATAGTGCGAGGAATACACAGCTTCTGCCTTCAGTGGGAATCGTCTTACCCTCACAAATGCTGACATAAAAGACAAGCAGCATATTTCAAAACCAAAGAGCGATGGATTTACAAGGCAGGTTGATTTTATGATGACTTTTATTGAAAAGGTACGCTGGGTTTAGGCAGATGCCTTTTAGCGCCGGTAAGTTAGCACAGTGCCTAATTCAAGGAGACAGCCTGAGGAAGCAGCGCCGACAGGGGAGAGAGAGCCACAATGTCTCTATTACTCTCTTCGGCATCATAAAGGGGAGAAGAAAAATCACATCTGAAAGGGAGAGGAAGGAACAGTGCAGCAGGTTTTTGCTGGGGAAAAAATAGTAATAATAATAACAATAATAATAAAATTGTTTTCTAGATAGAAAACTCAACAGAACAAAGGAGCCCATGTGAAAAGTAAACCACTTGCTTCTCGGTCTACACGTCTGGGTTTACAGGAAAACTCTAATCATAAGTCAGTGCTCTTCTTCAGGGTACCACGCTCCACTGCCCCTAGACCACTCCCCGCCATGGGTCACCTCCCAGCACAGCAAATCTGGAAGCCTGTCCTTCCTGAAGGACAGCTCTGCCCCCCTGCATAGGCAACAGCACAAGGGACAGGGTGAGGGGGAGTTACAGTTGTGAACATGCAGACTGGTTTCCTTCAGTCCAACCACCGTGCAAAAGAGCACATCACCTTTCAACAAGCACCAAAGGGGGAAACACTCCGAGAAAGCACATGGTGCCGCAGCTTATTGAATTGTAAGGATGGATCCAGGTTTATGTCTCGAAGAGGGAGCTTGGCAGCCAGAAATACTCTTACGATAACCAGAGGAAAAGGTACTTTTATCTTAACCTGAGGCACAAATCCTGAAGGTGATGCATTTGCTGTAAAGAATGGTGTGCATGAAGAAAAGGTCAGAAAGAAATACCTGAGGAAGCAAGGGGTACATGTTTCCTGCAAGCTCTGGGAAAGTTTCTGGCTACACACTCCAGCTGCATCCTTGTTTACACACATGTATGTACCAGCATCTATAGCCTCACACTCGGGGCTCGGACAGCTTTCTGCACGGTCAACATTGCCTCTCCAGCTGTGTGCTGGAAGACGAGTTTCCTTCAAGAGCACCTCACCTTAAAATCTACCAATGTCCATTTACAACAGACAAGGCAACACTGTGTAGCTGAGCTTGGCAGGCAGGAAAGGCTGGTTTTCCTCTGCCTTCAGCAAGAACCACAGCACTGCGGGACAATCACCTGTTGAGTATCTCAACAAGGTGCAACTAAAGAAGAACCAACAAGTCAATGGAGGTACTTACATCTGTCACTTCGGTCTTCGGGACTGGATGAGGTCTCCCGGTCAGAAATGAGGCCAGAAACGGCAAAGATCTTCTTCCCCGTATCATCAACTTTGAGGGAGCCGGGGGAGCTGGAGGGGAGCTGCGTGCCAAACTCATACTCCTTCCCATCGGTGTCGGAGAAGCGCAGATGGGGTGAGTCAGTGTCATGGCAGTTCTTCAGGCGCTTGGCCGGTGTAAAAGCTGACTGATAGCTCTCCCGGTCCTCAGTAGATGCAAAGGGGCGGAAAGCCCCAACACCGCTGTGGTTCAACATACTGATCGGGGTGCAGTCCAGGTTAGGGGGTGCGAACTGGGGGTGGAGGTGAAGCAAGGACGGAGGAAAGTCACGGTTTGCAAACGCTCCCGGCACCCCGCCTTGCCGGTGATACATGGAGGCAAAAGTATATGAGCCATTGGTAAAGGGAATGTGCACGTCCTTATCTGCTGACACGGGGACCCCAAAAGGCCTCGGCTGCTGGCAGGGAATGGAAGCATCACGGCTGGCTTCAGCAGTGGAGGCGAGAACCATCAGCGCCGGGGAGGCCAGTGGGTTGGGGAGATAGGGTGAGTTCTCCATCTTGAACGCGGCCCGGTGTAAGTCCATCGGAGTCTCTTTTGTCAGCAGGATTACAAGCGGAACAATCTTCCCTGGAAGGAAAGCAAAGCGATGCCTGGGAATGGAGCGAGGAAAATTACTGGAGCATCATCGCCCTCCGAACACTGCAAGGAAACAGAAAAGAAAGGAAAACACAATCGGTTAGGCTTCTGCACTCCCCTCTCTGGGATGCTCCAGCAGCCGGGTGGCCACATGTGTTACAACCCACTGGCCGGAGACGCACCACTGTTCTCATTCAAGAAAATCAATAGACAACTTCACACACTACTGGAATCAGCTCTGGCCCTCCAGGTTAAAGGGTATCATCCAGTGCAGATGAATGAAAGGCACAACCAACATAATAACATACAGATTTAATAACCCACTAATAAACAAGGTTCAGTCTAAAATTAAGATAGTAACTCCAAATTATAATTGCAATTTTATGTGGCAAAGGAGGCATGCACATATAATAAACTTCAGAAAGCCCACACATGCACACACTACTATTTGCTTCGGGGGGTGTGTGTGTAACCACCATAAAAATATCTGTTGCACATAGTTACCCACATGAGCCAGCGTAAGTAGTTATACTGTACACGATGTCTAAGACACATGTATTTTCTCTCATTCTCACAGTATATATGGGCAGGTAGGTACTTGCACACACACAGTACTTGATATCATTATGTCTATATATATATATGCACACTGTTGGAATGTAGGAATGTGACTGCATATGAGTGCATGTGTGTAATACACAAGCACCCACATGTGCATATGTGGTCCCTGCTAGCCAAAGGAGAAGAGATATCCCCAGTAAAATGCCTGGCAACTCTGACAGTATTTGAAATCATAATGGGTGCTTCTGCCATCTGATCTCTGCAAGCATCTCCCTTTCGGGTCGGGGACAAGAGAGAATGGATCAGTAATTTTACTTCCTAATGCACTCACTCTTAAGTAGATTTGTAAACTGCCCTGGATGCGCCATTAACATTTAGAGGAAAATGTTAACAAAATTTCTGCCTCGCATCTTGCTGAGCCTCCCGGGTTGGCTGCAGCCACCCAGCCAGCCACCACCCCCTCCCAGGGTGAGAGAAGGGAAAATGCTCCTTTCTGTGTCTCCCCCAGTTCGCTCCGGCTTTTTGTGTTGTTATTTTCTCCCCCAATCAATCTCATGTCTTTTCTTTTAAGCTTCCGCCGCCTGCCATTCAGGCCCCACAGCCCAGCTTAAAATACAAGGACTATAACTTTGAAACAATATACTAGCCGCTGGAGCTCAAAGGGCCAGAAAAATCATATAATAATAAAAAGCTGTTGCAAATTGTGCCTCTTAAATCCAGAGGGTCAAACATCTCAAATAAAACTTAGTGAAAGAGTGTCTCCCTAATGGAGTGCCTTTTGTACTCCATGAATGAGGGAGCCTAGGTTAACAAAGTGTATGAAATCCAGTCTGTGGCTTTAATGCAGTTCAGTGATAACATTTCCTCTCTCCCATCCTATACCCAGCCACTCCACCGACTGTTATTAATTGTGAAGATGAGTGGACATCATCTCTCTGCTTCCTCATTTGGCACCCATCCCTGCAGACATCATTGCTAAATTACCAGATTATGTATCTCACATTAACGGATTTGCTCTCTTCCAAATTTTAAATAACTTTCCCGTCGAGTTCTTGCCACAGGGAATGAGGGGGGAGAGGGAGAGAGAGGGATGCCAAGGGCATCCTGGTCAGTGCTGCAGTCCTGGGCACACTCGCTCAGCTGCTTCACGTCAGGCTGATCAAAAACTGGAGGTCAGGAAACTGCAGCCACTGGCAAACCTGGGTGGCTGGGGGCTTACACAGCCATGTAAATACATACATACACACTCATGATTATATGTCCAAAGAGATGCATGTGGATAAGCCACCAGTCTCAGAAATAAACAGTCATTAGCATGGAAGTCCAACAGAGCAATCATGGGAAAACATGGATTTCCAGCGGAAAAAAAAAACAACAAAACGACCAAAACCCAGCAACCACCTCTGCCTCCTTTTCTATTTTTACTTGTGCTATCACCCCATTACGTTAAACGTATTTCATAAATTAGTAATCTAGCCCCGCAACACTTGACACTCCTGTAGGATACTGTGAATCACTGCAGCCGCTTATTCGTTTGCAAACTTCATTACACCAGGAATAAATCAACACATTACAATATCTCAGCTGGCCAAATTTGATTTTTTTTCAGCTCCCACTTCCTTTTTCGTTCTCTCCCGCTCCCAGCACCTCCCCAACCCCCAGCAACAGGGACAGATTAGACTGCAGCGGGCCAGTCATTATGAAAATCTATCGTTAATACACTCCCAATGTCAAAATGTCATAGATTCAAATACAGAACCCCAAAATAAGAAAACTGACTGACCTCCTTAATTAAAAAAATATGGATTGCGGGGTAATCAGCTGGAGGGAACATTTGGGGGCCGGGAAGGCGGTGGGCACAGGTGGAGGGAGGCACTGCTACTTTTCTGCCTCTATGCTGATTTTTTTTAATTTAGCACCTCGCGCAAATCCAGATTAAAATAACTCCAGCTATTGATCCGGGCAGTGGAATTGACATTAATTTTAGTTCACTTCTCACTTTGCAAAGGGATCAATAGGAAGTAATAACAGCTGACATCCCCGCTGAAAGGAGGAGAAAAGACGGGCTGGAGACAGAAATCGAAAAGCAACCAAATAAATCAGCAGCTACTTTTCCACAGCATCAGACAAACTCCAAACAGATTGCAAAAAGTCTTTGTTGAATTAACTAAACAAGGAGTAGAGGGAAGGGGGGTGGAGATCAATCGAGGAAGGTGCATAAACTGTCTACCAAGTACGAAGGTTAGACGGACAGGCTGCAAACAAACTCTGATTTTTTTATTACTATTGTTTTTTTTTTTCACGGCTCCCAATTTGTATAGTTATTGGGTTTCAGAGCTACCCTGTTTAAGGTGTACACAAATTACCTGTGTAATCGTGTGTGCTGCTAAGAACAAGGCTAAACACGCCACAACCAAGACAAATTGAATCAACAGCCTTTAGCTCTGAACCACGAGGGGGGAAAAATATCTCTCACCAAGGAACAAGTTGTAATCAGTTATCACTGGCTCAGTTGTGGCTCCTCTGCTTACGACGGTCGCAGCACTGGGCTGAATTAGTTAAGAGGAAAGTCTGACAAAAGTAGGAGAAGCCATGAGGGAGCTGGATTTAGGAGGCATCACAAGCACACCGTAAGTGGAGAAAACAGCAGTGACCACTGGTTAGAAGCGTAAAACCCACTCGTTAATCAGCCCGCAAAGAAACAGGCACCCAGGCAAAACACATGCACACCCCAGACGCCGCCACCAGATCTGCAAAGCTCTTACTAAAACCTTACTCAGAGTTCCTATTACTAAATCACCTCTCTGCTATCGATTAAAATAAATAAAATGCACCACTCTGGTTTCTACAACAGGTTGCATTTTTGCGGTCTCTCAACCATTTCCAAATGCCAGAGATTAAATTAATGGGGCAAATTAACATTTTTTTTTCACCCTCCAGAAACAAAGTTTTCTTGGGGTTCAAAAAATAAATTTAAAAAAAATTAACAAGCTATAGCAAAAAAAAAAAAAAATCCAACACCAAAACAGTAGGAAATCCAGGAAAATTGGTGATGCATGTAAATTAGGAAAGATCCAGGAAAAAAAAAACACAATATCCATTTACATTAAAAACTTCTTTTCCCCATAAATGTCAAGTAGGAATTTAGAAATATGCTCTGCGCAGAAAAGCCAAAGATTATAAAACAAAATAATGCCAGCTGTTTGGGGATTTAAGTGCTCAAATGGATTATATATTTGAACCAAACTGGATTTCCTTATAATAAATAAAACAAATGCAAGCTCGAAAGCCAACAAAGGAGAGCTCTCATCACCGGATTAAGACACAAAGGAAAAACAGTTAATTTTTGTTATTATTTTCCCTTCCCCCCCCACACCCCAACGTGCGAAATACGCCAAGTGCAGCCGCACACCCGGGCAGCTGCTGTGAAAACCGGTGTAAGGGGAAATGAAGAAAGCAAAACACTACATAGGAGAGCGGGGAGCGGAGGAGCCGGCGGCGGGGACGGCCGGAGCTCCGGCCCCGGGCAGGGCAGCCCGGCCTCTGTCCCCTCGTCCCGCTCTGCGCTCCCGCTGCTGTTTTGCTATAAACTTCCTCAAATGTATATATGTATAAATATATAATTTTAAGAATTAAAAAGGGGATGAAAAAAGCCCCCGGCGGAGAGGGAGAGGCGGTGTCGGGCTGAAGGGGGGAAGCGCGGGGGGGGGGGGTGGGAATAGGGTGAAAAAAAAAAGGGAGAGAAGAAAAAATAATGCCCTACCGGATAGGGGATTATAAAATACGCCGGTACCGGAGCTACCGGCAGCCGCGCCCCGGCCGCGCTGCCAACTTGGCGAAACCCGAATGAAAATAGCGGGCGGTGTCGCCCCGAGGGAAGCCCCGCTCCGGCGGGCACCGGCACGGGGCTCCGGAACCGGGCAGCGGCCCCTCCGGCAGCGCCCGCCTCGACCAACCGGGCTGGCACCTTCGCCTCCTGCCGCTGGTCCTTCTCCCCCCGCCAGGGTCGGGTAGGGTCGGGTCGGGTCGGGTCGGTGGGTGTTAAATAAACCCCAATAAAACACAAGCAGAAGGGGTGAGCCCCGGTTGGAGCCCACCGCGGCCGTCAAGCCCCGCCGCTCCGCTGTGCCCAACAGTAAATTAAACAGGTGTCTGGCGGGGCCGGGGCGGAGGGCACGGCTCGGTACGGCCCGGCCCCGGGCTCGGCTCAGCCCGGAGAAGCCCCGCTTCCCGCCGGGGCTGCTCCTCTCTTGCCGCCTCTGGAATTGTTCGCTCCCGGGAACGGAGGTGGGAGGGGGGTCCTGGGTCCGGTCCGGTCCGTAAAGCCCGGGAAGCGCTTTCCCCCTTACCCCCCCCCCCCCATACACACACTTTTCCTCCTCCTTAAACCCCCAAGTCACAAAGATCATCAAACGCAAAGATGACCAAAGTTGTTTGGATTTATTGCAACAATCACTTACCATACACATTTCCTGTGTGGAAGGATAAGCATTCAATACAACTCTTTAAGTAGACAGTTCCTAATGATTTCATTGTGGTCAACCAGATGGTTTTTATGTATTTAGATCTGAAGGTGAAGAATTATTTTCCATGCTTCCAACCTATTTACAGACTTCCCTGGTCTAAGAGCTGGGGTTGTTGGTTAAAAGAAAGAAAATCCTGCGATTTCTCGATCGCATCGCTGGATGATCCAGAAAGTTTTCTAAAGGACCTAAAGCGAAAACAAGGATAATTCCTTTCACCTCTTCTGGCTTCCCAAGCTACGCCATTCACATGTGGAGTAATTTTAGCTCATTCGTTGAATAACGCTGACAATTTAAACCTCCTCTCTACCTTTTGTTTTATCTGCAATAATAAAACCAGAACGACACCGCGTGCGAGAGAGATCCAGGCGGCCGGTTCCTACCTGAAAGCAGTCGGGGGCAAGGGCGGCAATCTTTTGGGGATGAAGGACCCGAGGAGGGGCGAGGATGTTAGCCAAACTTCAGCCTCGGCCAAAATTAAGCTAAAGCGGCGGCTTTACCAACGTGAGTTTCGAAATAAAAACTCATTCGGTCTTCGAGCAGGGATCGCGCATTTTTGGTACGGCTTAAAACTAAAGTTCACACGGGGACTGCGCGCTTGCAAAAATGAAAGCTTCGGAGTAAATGAAATTACCGGTTGTTCTGGGGTTCCTGAGCAAACAGAAACCCTGGAAGGGGTTTTCTTTTTTCAGAGACCCTGTTTGAAAAATAAAAGCCTTATTTGGGGTATTTGCAAGGGAAAAAAAAATAGGGGAAAAAAGGAAAACACGAGCAAGGCGCCGAGCCGGCCGGTGGGTTTGTGGATCCGCTTATTTCCTTCGGAAAAATAGAAAAGTTTTTGTTTCGTAGCCGCTGGGAAATGGAACTGTCGCTGCCCAGAGCGACCGTGGAGAGAGCGAGGTCCTGGGCGCCGCGGGGGGAAGCGAGGAAATAACTCCCCGGCTTGCCCCGCCGGGAAAATAAGCTCGGAGGGGAGGGGGGGGGGGGGGGTATGGAAAAGGAGTTAAAGAAATAGTGTCTGTTTCGGAGCGGGGGCTGTGCGCCGGGCCCTGGGTCCGGCCGGGCCCCCCGGCACCTGATCCCTGGTGGCGACCGGTCCCCCCGGAAAGCCACCGTGAGGCTGGGGGGAGGGATCGGGGCAGCTCGGGGCTCGCCGAGGGTCCGGGGGGGGCCCTTTATGTGCCTTTCCCCTCGGCATCACCATGCCGATCCGCACCCACCCGGCCCTCCCCGCGGCCGGCGCGGCTCCCCGCCGCCGCTGTCTCGCTGCCCGGCTTCCCCGGGGCTGGGCAGCGGGAAAGGGCGCGGGGGGCTGGGGTGGAGGTAGGAGGGAGGGAAGGGAAAGGAGGGGGGAGAAACTTGCCCTGCAAAGTTTGCGTGTGGCCGGGCGGCCCCGGTGGCCGGTACTCACGGTGCGGCTGCCGGCGGGCGCTGCGCGGAGCTGGCGGCGTGCGGGGAGCTGGGGAGTCCCGGGCGTGCTGGCCCCGCTGCGCGCCCGCGGCTCGCATGTAGCAGAGCGGGAGACGCCGGGGGTGCGAGGGAAGGAGCAGTGCTGCCTCTCAGTGCCGGCTCTCATCAGTGAATGAGCCTCCACTCTCCGAGGGACTCCTGTCTGCACACACACACACACACGCACACACATACACACGCACACACACACTCGCACACGGAGCCAGGCTGAGCAGTGCATACATTAGGGCACTCGGGCAGTATGGGAAATGCAGTCCAGGACCGCGGACCGGGCGCACACCCTCCGGCCGGCCACCAGGCACAGCCCTGGAGTTGTCCAAATGGGGTGTCGGGGGGCTGCTGCCCTCCCAGGGAAGCCGCTTCCCCCCCAGCCCTACCCGTACCGCCCTTAGTTCCTGCCACTGGTCACATTTTCCACTGCGCAGCTCCCTCCTGAATTGCAGCAGGATGCTGCAGGGTCCCCCGGGTGGCAGAACACCCCCCGGGGCACCCCTGCACCCCTCCAGTCTCGGGCCAGCCGGTACCTGCGGGATGTTCATGCAGCCTTCCCCAGGCACCCCGCTGCGTCTGCTGGCACTTGTACCAGGGTACCCAGGGATGGGCAGACCTAAGACCGTCCCCAAATTCACCTTGGACCACGGCAGCAAAGACGTAGAGCAAATTAGGGAATTCACCCTCTCAGTGTTTCCCCAGCTGCAGCACGCACATTGCTATTTTAATGTTTCCTGGATTCATGTCACAGCCCTGCACAAACCCACCCGCACACACACACCACCTCGGCCACAGCCAACTGCCCTGCCAGCCATGGGACTGTCCTGAGCAAAAACTGCCCATTGTAGGGAATGGAAGAGCCAGTTTTAGATGAGGGCTCAGATGAAACACTTGTCTCATTGTTTCTTGTAAAATACACCAGGGATTGATCCGAGAGACTGATTTATTCCACCCAGGAGGGAAGTGTTTTGGTTTGTTTTGCTTCTTCAACTGCTAAATAATTTCAGGTTGTTCTTTAAAACAGAGGATGGGCAGCATTTCTTGGCTTTTATCTAACTCTGCACTGATATTCTCAAAATAGGACCATGCAGTACAACACACACTGACAGAAGTCCTTTCCATCAGCATCATCAACCACTTAGGCTACATCCTATATGTGTGTGTGAGAGTAAGAGGGATTATGTGCTTATGTCATCCAACAATTTTTGTGTAAGCAGTGACTCATCACTGAAGAATATGGGCTGGTTTTGCCTGTTAATCCATGGGATCACTGAATATGCCAACCCCTATAAAAGTGTCCACAGGCACAGTAACAAACACGGCCGCAGGCCTTATCTGGGTGCACTGTGAAGACCACAGTGGTTTGCTTCTCTGGTGGGTTAAAGCTCATACATTCTACAACACTTCAGCAATGGGTGTTAGGCAGTCAGGGTGCCTGCATGTCTCGTCAATAGTCAAATCTTTGGAAATGGTAGAAAATGTAGCCCCAAACCCCCAAAATAGGCTGCTTTCTTTATCTTCACACTTAAATTTCAAAATAAAACAACGTGGCATTTCAAATTCCTCAGCTCAGGAAAGCACCCGGGTGAAGGAGCTTCCTGTACTTTCTTTACATAGCTACCAGCAGCTCTGTTCCCTGCCCTGACCTGCAGCTCAGCCCTGCAGAGACTGATGACAGTAAACCATGAGAGCATGCTTCTTGCCCTTCAAGGCTTCTGCTCCATCACAGCTTCCCTGCACATCACGTGTGGGAGCGAGAGGGGTGGCAGGGCAGGCAGCAAGCACTGCCTTCTGCCACGGGTCAGCTGTGTTGTGATGGTAAATGTGGGCTGAGGAGCCTGAGGTCCTTTTCTGCTTTGTGTAAAAGCTGGCATTTCAATATTTCAGGTAAAAGCCTCTCACAACCGTGAGTAAACTTTACTGCGCATATATTCTGCTCATGAGTAACATCCTCCAGTTACCCCTTGATTAACCAAAGTTAAGATTTTGAGGGGATTGGCCATTTCTAACACATCTTTGGAAACAGCTGCCCCAAAGGCTGCATATACAGATGTGCCCCAATGCACAAGTCATGATGAGTTGTGTGGGGACACCAAATTAATGGGCATCACACACGTTTCCAGGGCCTGCAGCATGCTCTGTGCCAACAGTACCAACCAGCTGAGGACTTCCAATAATAATATTCCATAGGGTAGTATAAACGATCCATAGGATAGTAGAGATGAGCCCTATTTTAAATAACATCAGTGTTCTGACACACTTCAGGAAGCCACATTAAGCCCCAACCATTGTTTCCCAGGGATCTTGGGGAAAACATTCAACCACAGCCCAGCTTGTGCTACAGCTTTAACCAGAATCCTGGTTAAACAAGTGCTCTTACTATAAAGCTGTATTTTCAGTACTTACAACATCATGAAAAACGATCCCTCAGATTCAAACTTCTTTTTTTTGTTCTTAGCCAAAAAGCAATTTTTTAATCTTTTTTTTTTTTTTTTTCAGTTCCTTAGTATGGAAAAAGGGATCTGAATTCGGTGTTCAATTTATGTGAGCTGAGAATCAAGCTCCATGTTTTGAGGCTTGAAAAAGAATTCATGCAGCTTTATTTAACTTTATGTTATGACACCGTCACACAAGAACTTAATACAGTTTGGGTTCAGGGAACAAGTCTGGCATTTAGCTAGCTTCTGTGAGCAATGTCTTCAGAGGAAAATGAGAAGATACACTCAAGTTATTTATACTGGTAATTACCATTAATCTGTATTACTAATGAGGGTTTTGATCCTGGAAATGGATCCATAAACATGGACTCCTGCACCACTATGGAGCTGCGATATGCACAGAGGCCCATAGGAAAAATTTCCACTGAAATATACTCTACACTGATAATTTGGACCCTAAAATAACTTTGAACATCTGATTTAACTTTGTGTGCATTGCTCACCTCTAAGAGTAATGGGGAAACCTTCATTTCTTTCATATATCTTTTCCCTCATAATATTAAAGCAACGTTTGAGGTTGTTATAGGCTATCACAAGGTATAGCTATAGCTGTACCTTCTCATTGTTCTAAATACTGAAGTCTGAATTAAATTAACATATACAATCCTCAACCTACAGAGTTGATTAGATGCACTTGACTTTATGCATATGGATTTCAATAGGATTACCAATAACGCATAAAGTCAAGTGTACATGTAAATTCCACCAGGAACAGTGCCTTGACTGGAAGCCTGCTGGATTCTTACAATACCAGCAGACAGTTCTTAAATCAAGAACCCCCTTCACTCATCATTATGTCCTCTCACTGCTGTTTTATAAAATAAGACTGAGAAATATGTTAAATGTTAGCAGCAGCTGTAGAAAGCATGGTGGAAAACTGCACTGCACATATACCAGCAGCACCCTGGGACCCCATGACAGTGCGTTGCATTTGTTGGGAGCTGCCTTGTTGTGATGCTGTGGGTCCCCAAAAGCGACACCCTGAGAAATACTGCATGTATGGGACCACATCCTGAAGTCACTGGCACTGTCACCTCTCCTAGACCCGCACATTCCTTGCATCCTTTCATCAGCAGTTATGGATGGAGGAGGGGGAATGTCAACTTGATCAATTAATTAATTATTAAATGTAAACTTTGAATGGCAATTAGGCTCCAAGGCGGCTGTCGCTCCCCACGAAGTGTGGCTGGCTGGCTGGCGGGTGTAATCTCCATGCCCTCTGCTGGCTACAGCCAGCGTGTCTCAGCAGCGTGCCACCACCACCCTGTCCTCACTGCTGGGAGAAGGACCACTCGTCCAGGATGCTGGGCAGTACTGCCAGTGGCAGTAGTCCCTGCTGCCCAAATGTTTTTGTCCCTTGGTTTTATCAGAGCCGTGGCCCTGGTTTAAATGTCAGTAAGCTGGTGCCTACACTTCAGGAGGACAGGAGCTTGAAGCCTCTGCGGTCAGCTGTGTCTTACTCTGATGCTGTCAGCAAGGACATCTGAGTTGAAGATTGACCTGTGAGTTTGAAAGCACTATTCTGGTCTTAGCTGCTGATCTGTGCCGTGTTCTAGTGATTGGTGTAAGGATTTTCCCATAGCTCAGGAGAGCTCGTATCGGAGCTCTACGTCTTCTGATCCATATGTGACTGCCCTCTGCCAGTCCCCTCTCTCTTGCAGAGGAAGAATTTGGCAGAGGCAGGGTTGAAATCGTACTATCTGCCAGAAGTCTGAAATCTAGAGCTGGCGTACTCTCAGTGACTAGTCTTCCCAGAATGAGAAAACAGCCCTTTAAATGACTCGTTGACTCACAGCACCAGTAGTGAGAAAATTTTCTTCAGCTTAGAAACATTTTCTATGACCAACAGATAAGTGTGTCTCTTTTCCAACGTCATCATCATCATCACCACCATCACCTAGGTCTCTTGCAATGCCTGCTGAGTAGCACAGGAGAGCAAGGAGAACCTCCTGGTTCTGCTTCTCAGGACATGCTGCAAGAGACATGCTGCTATGCTTATAAATCTTGCTCATCACCGAATCTCTGCAGCAGAGTGGAGACCATGCCCAGGATTTTGCAAATGGGTACAAGGTGTTCTTCATAAACCATTGTCCTGTGGTACTATTTCCTATATGACTTTCCCTTTAGAAAATGCCTTCTCCATAAAGGAGGTTGCAGACTGGATGGCTAGTTACTCTATCAACTGTTTCAGGAACACTGCTCACAAGTGAACATCAACCGTATTATCATTTCCAAAGCCAAGCATTGACCCAGATGTCTAGGATAAGATATCTAGAGCACTACATGAGGCACTTTTGGGACAGTGCTCCTGATAAAAGTTCTCCCCAAAACTCCAGCAGCTGGAGCTGTGTGATT